GGTAACGGAAAGTAGTTTTATCTACACATCACCATCTTTCACTATTAAATATACAAACTAGGTTTGTGTCAGTCGAGTTTCAAGTAAATAAGTTAACAAGCTTGCAGTTCAGTGAGTTCCACGAATCCATAAGGAAATTTTAAACGTACCAACACATGTTATGATCTGTTTGTTGCAGATTACACGATTCTACACTTTGATCAAGTATTTATTAGATCAACATTTTTTGTCGTATATTATTTTTCGATTACATACGAAATATTATTTTCCCCTAGATGTATGACCTCCTACACGATAGTCATCAGTCTAAAATGTTGAAATCGGCAGAACTTTAGTACAGTATTGGAGCTTTAAGGCAAGCATTCTGACCGTATTTCAATCAAAAAATGTTGATCTAATAAGTATTTGACCGTAATCCTAAGGAACTAAGCCTGTACTACCATTCACTTATGTCAGAGTGTCTGTGACCACAAGAGGGAAGTGTGTTACTGTGTTAACAGATTTTTATTCAATAATATGCACGTTAAATGACACACATGTATTGTCTAATTTATATTTTTACTTTTGCAGTACAGTTTTCGACCCGTAGATATTCTGCCATATGAAATGTAGACGATGCGATTAAGGCGCTAGTCTTTTACATAACACAATTACACAAAAAACGCGTAACCTTGGAATTTCAAGGATGTTCAAGGTCGAAGCCTCATTCCCTTCAAAATAACAAGGTTCTTACTTTTTCCTTCCACGCTATCCGGAAATAGAGCGCCTGAATTCTACCAAATAGTTTTGGTGTATAGTTACAAGTACGCTATATTCTAAACTCTAATGAAAGACATAGGATATATCTTAAGCTTTTTGGCTAGTTTCACTGTATATACGACAGCTTATTTCTTGGAAAGGGAAATGATAATATTCTATCCTAGACTACATATATGTCGGACATATAAATATTTTGAATAACTATGTAGGTCATATTTTTAGTTGTTTTTTTTTTCTGTGGTATCGACACCGATAGTTAAAGCTAGTTTTTATGTTAAAGCTCGGGGAACAAAACGCTATCCTCCAATTATAGTCCAATCCGAGCAGTGTCTGGCTTAGAGAATTACGTTATGTCACTTCTTTGAAAAGTCGCGTTATAATGTTGAACAGTGTCATAGTACTGTACAAAAATTTGAACACTTCTGCATGGAAACCAAATTAGATAAACTATGACGACATTTTTATAAGATAGCAAATATTTCTAAGCAACCACTTTAGTTTTAAGTAAATGTTAGCGTTAATCTTCTTTGATATGTGTTACATACTTATATAATACAATAACCTAAAAGTCAAATAGCTTTAGCATTAAAGGTTTATGTATGCAATAATAGCATTATTGAGGATTTATGCTCAGTTACAAAGGGTAAGTTAATTTCAAAACTGGACAGTTGATAAGTATACAAGTTCTTGTTTTTAACAACAACAAAGTGCAAAAAATGGCTGATAGGCTTTACAGTACCTAAGTAAGTATAGGCAGACAATAAACAGGTAAGTAAGAGTTAGACTGACAGTATGCAACATATCTTAGAGTGAATATCCATCAAACTATTTCTCATAACTAAAATTCGGATCCTGTAAGTTGGACTTTAAAGTATGTGTATAACTTTCATTCAAGCCACTCTCTCAGTATCGAAATTTGTCTAAATAAAGGAAGTTTTTACTGGTTGATCGCATAATTTATCCGTTAGGCCATTAAATATGTTAATTGTATATTAAATAGCCAGTTACATGAAAAAGTGTTCATTCTGTACTTAAGTCAGTCGTGTTACTTTAAAGGATTTTGATTAGTAATGCATACGAAATCTAAGCATGTCACGGATTTCCCAAATTTCCAAAAGAAACCGCGGATCAGTTTCGTAGAATTGACGCACGCCAGAGGAAATGCGCAATAGCCGAAATTCCATCCAATAACCGCGTATCGTCGGAATTGAGGTCAGTCTTCCAAAGTCACAGCAAAATTGCTTTTAAGAAACAGGTTCCGCTAATAGGCGGTGAAAAAGCCCGAGACCGAAAAAACCGTAATCAATTTATCATCGTTCCCGTAGTCATATTTAATGCATCAATCAATTTTGAAACTTAATTGGTTTCGAATTACAGACTCGAATGCAGTTTCCTCTCAGCTTTACAGATTTCTTTCGAGGAATTCGGCAGTTGATTATACTCGAAAATTCGGCGTCACCAGAATTGAATTAGCAGTTAGGCAGTGAAATTACGCTAGCAGAATTAACAAAACCAATGAAGCGTTACAAAATTGTAGGTACAAGTTGCGCATTGCATCAGTGTTCTGTTTTATAGCTGAAAATATATTAGTTTGGGAAGGTGGAATAACGATTAGGCAATACAACGAAATTTCACATAGGGGCAAACATTTGCATCACTGTCGGTACCTGGTCGCTAAAACAAAAACCGTAGCCCAAGTAGCGATATTATCAAGTCATTTTAGATGTTTTTCGTCAGCCATCAGCTACCATAATGGGAGCACGACATATGAATATCTATTCAATAGACGAATCGGACCATTGATCAATTCGGCGCTCTATTGCACATCATAAGTGAATGCATAGAACCCTTCATAGAATTGAGTGCAGCGAAATTGACTTTGATAATACTCCACAGACGTAGATGTAAACAGATAGTTGCAATCCATTGCGTCATACCGAGTCATCCCTTCTTAAGATACTCTGGGCGTGATGACGGGTCCACAAGTAATCAAGCATTACATCAATCAAACCTGAAGGGAGTTTTTGGTCGTGACCCCGTTTTTGTAAGCATAAAGTGCTCTAAGGATATGGAAATAAATCAAAGAGACAAGGATAGGACTGTTACAAGACAGATCAATATTATGGATATCATCTTTAGCCCAATGATTAGTAAAATAACAGCTGGCACAATAGTAACGAAGTCATTGAACTAAATGAAAGTATGTCAGAACCGTGTCAAACTAAAGATGAATCAGACTTCATCTTCCCTATTTAACCTTTAATAAGATCTTGAATAAGTTCTTGGTAATTTATTTTATCCACAAAGGCTCTACCCCACATCCTTATGTCTGCTGACCTCACTGTCTAATTACTTTAAAGGCATTTGCGTGTTTAAGGCAAACAACATATATAATTAAGATTTCTCGATTATAATCCCAAAAACAAGTGAGACCGTTACACGGCGGTAATGATGTTTTTAAATAACCATAACTTTTAAGAGCGGAAGTTTTAACTCCAAGATGAATGCCTCGCCGCTGGCAAACGAATACACTGAACACGCAAAATTGGCAAACATCCTTTCAAATTTATCATATTCTTTCTTAGAGTGTTTTAAAAAGGATTATGGTAATCAGGTTTGCGTAAACTTGTTCTCGGGAATCTATTAAGCACCTTCTCACGTTCAAGTTAATGAGCAGTTATTCCACGTTTGTTTATTAGTACTCCGAACTTGAACACACCTATTCGCCTTCCAGCAACAATTCGAGACATTAGTAATTTTATGAATGATTTATAGATCGACTGTATTCAAAACAATGCTTTAGCAATCATATGAATTACCGTCTTGAGTTTTTTTGGCCATCATGCCTGATTTAAACAGAAGTAATAAAGAAAAACTGAGTAAGCATAAGTACTGAAACTGGCAATAGTACGTGTCAAGTCTAAAGGCTTCTTTGCCTAATTCTAAAATTTTATCAATACTGAAGAGCTAATTCAGCACTAATGGAGATGGAACAGATATAAATCATTGAAATTGATTATGAAGGGAAAATGGACATTTGCTGATCATTTATCAAAGTTCTGATCTTGGATGTAATGATCACATTTCACCAAAGTGACATGTGACGTTGTTGCTACTACTGTAAGCTTCTAACTCAAGATATATAATTACGTGGTAAATATGTAATAAGAAAAAGATGCAAACTTATGAACAAAACAACCAACAGCACAACAAAGTGAATACGACACTGAAAGCAATTCTCAAGGTCGCGCCTCGTAACGTGGATCTCGCGTAACAGCTGATTCAAGGTGTAATGTAGCGGATCCTTACCTCAACTTTATGAGTTATATCCATGACACAAAACACACTTTTACAAACTACTTACACAATTCATCCATATGGATCACTAAAACAGATTATCCTGAACACAGTGGAAAATGCTGGTTCCGACGGAAGTCGAGAGTTTACTAGATTCATATAAGGACGTGAGATTGTCCATAATAGTTTCAAAGAGAACAAGGTAGTTTAGAGCAAAGTTCACCAAACATTGTTGTGTAAACTTAGCTTGAAGGCATTATTTTTGATGAAAAAACTGTCAGAGACAGAGGTCATTGGAAACATACTATTTACTGGAACTTTTAAAGTACCTAATCGATTTTACCAATATCATGCATGGGGAAATTTGGCTTGACTTTGTCTCTTGACAGACTAGATAAACTTTGTTTCACAAAAGAATATATATCTTTCTGGGATTTGGATCAAATTTAATTTAATTTGATCTAAGTGGGCTACTTAACGAAACGCTGAACATACGAAAAAAGTGCAATTCGCTGCGTATAGAAAATGATTGATAGAATTAGCTTCGGCGTGTCAACAGTTTGATCGTGAAGGAACTCATAAACTGAACATAGCAGAAATTCAATTTCTCGCGAGACAATACACTGCGACCGCAATCAAGCTAAGAATGTTTCATGTAGAATTAAAGAATCATAGCGTGTTGTTTTAAAGGGACACAATAAGGTAGTCACAGACTTCTCTAGATCCCAGACACTTTGGCATATCCAGCATATCCAATTGATCAACACAAGAATCACTTCTATTCCACAACAACGGCACTGCATCAGCTGATCCCGGCGCCGGCAATCCAATAGCGATGGCGGAGTTTTCACCACTTCAACTTCCATCAACTCGCGACTCCTGATCTTCCTCGATTTACTCACTATTATCACATAAAAGGTTACGAAGTCCTCGTATCACAGTGATCACACGTTATAGCAGACTTGCTGGATCTGCGGGAAGGTAGATCCCAGCGGGATCGCGGAACTCACGTACGGATGCAGTCTGTGCGCCCGGAGGTACTGCCTGTACTTCCCCGAGAGGATGTGTTTCTCATCCGGTCGGTCCGGTGACCGGTCCGGGTCCGTCCAATGACCGGAATCACTTCCTGAAGAGCCGTAGGTCTGGCCGCAGAGGGATTCCCGTTTGCAGTAGGTCTGAGCAGCGGAGATTGGCACTATCGGAGGCATGGGGTCCCACAGCTGCCTCTCTGTGGTGGCATATTGCACCGGGTACTGGGCTGCCTGTTGGGGCACTTGCTGCGGCAGCTGCTGACCCCTGGGCATCCTCCTCTTCACAGCTGTGGCAGTCCGCACCGGGGGGAGATTGTTGATGAAGGGGCTCCTCCGCTGACTCTCAATCTTCCGGAAGTAGCACGGGTGGATCATCAACAGGGGCTCGTTCCTTACCCCCTGGGGAGGTTTGGCGGTATTGGGCAGTTCGTACTCCACACTGCAGTCTACGTGGAGCGGCTGGGAATAATCCTTAGGCACTTGTAATGTCCTCTGCTGAGGAGAGGAGAGTTCGTACGGGGTATAGCACGTAGCCATGTTTACTACGCGACTGTCGCTCGAACACTAGCTAGGTACAGCGAATGGAGTTCAGCTGATGCGCTCAGGCGCCGGCTGATGGTGGGGGTAGGAAATCGATGTACATGCCTGTGTTGCCACATGGGTCAGTCTTTACAAAGACCTGATACAAATTGCTCACAACAATAATACCATCAAAATTTAGCTGGTTAGTAGGTTTCGGGTATGCTTGAAGCAAAAAGAGAGCGAATAAGATACTTTAAAAACTTTTAGTTGGAAGATTAATTAATGAACCTCTATGTATCAAAAGCGATACAAACCTCCTGGGTGTCACATACGATAGCTGTCTTAAGTTTGATAAGCACATTGAGAGTATGGCTTCAAAACTCAATCAAGCATGCTATGCACTACGAGTACTCACTTGTCACCTGCCCTTACAAGCTGTGCAGGCTGCCTACTATGGGCTTGCGTATTCTATTATGTCTTATCAAATAACAATTTGGGGTAATCGTCCCGCAGCCAAAAGAATTTTTATCATACAAGAGGATAATAAGAACAATGTTCAAAATGAAGCCTAGAGAGTCATGTAGAAGTAGAAGTATAATTAAAGTTAGAGAATTTCGACGCCAGCAGTAAACTAAAACCTTTATCTGGATTACCAAAAATTCTCAAGCGAATAGGCAGCCACCTACAATTAGTTTCTTCCCATGATATGCTTTAATTAACCGGTTAAAAACACCACAGAAGTAATAAGTAGACGTTTATTTTTTTCTAAGCGATTTAAGGGCTTGCCGCTTAAGTATATCTAAGCATAGAAACAAATGAGGCGCGCCTTGCGTGACTGTCAGCTGTCACCACGTGCTCGGCAACAGTGGATATGTATGTGGGGCATATCCGGTAATGTCTTACTTCTTATAATAAAATTATAGTTTATTTTTGTTGCTTCGTAAAGGCATCATGTCTCGTTATATTGTCTTATCTCATTTTCCATGTCTCCAAAGAAAACATTTCGGAATTATAAGGGAAAAGGTTAAGTTTTATTAAATATATTACCTTTTATTTTTGTAGAAGATACTACATACCAACAGGATACAGTTCACAAATCCATGTATTTAAATACGGAGCTATGATTGGCTAATGACTATTTATGTTCATAACAGACTAGATTGAATAAAGCTTTTGTAAATCGTTTTTTTTTTTGCAACGTAGGTACTTGATAATGCACAGTCATCCTCATGTAAAAAATTCAACATCGCGGATATATTTTCTGATATTCAACCTGGTTACTTGATAATTCATTCTTATCGATTTGGATGATTGATCGAATGACGACCAATACAAATATGCCTTGCCCAAAAACATTGATGCTGTTCCAAATTGTCAAAGTAGGCCAATGGATACATGAGTAAATTAATGTTAATATCAAATAGCTGTTCTTGCAAACGAGCTTTTTTATGGCATCATTAGTGTCAGCTGAAGACGGGTTATCTTGATAAATCATTCTTAATAACCAATATTCAATAATTAATTAAAACGAACACAGCCAGGAAAAGATACAGATAATTGAAGTCCAAATTTTCTATCGGTGAGCTGATAGTCGTTTTTATCGCAAAGAAAACCTTCATGGTGGCGTAGAAAGCTCTGCTGCTTGGAAACAGTATTACTTTCACGCCAAAGAACTTACAGCAAGTAATTATGGGTAAACATTAATTCACAAATCCGCTCTTGCAACCTAGAATACTGTTAACATTTAGCACACGAATTATCAAACAGCATGTAAAATAAAGCTTTACTTATAACGTTATGATCTAGATACTCGAACTTATACTAACATCATTGTAGTCCTCACATTTATAATTTGAAAGGCAAATAGGAATTTCAAAATAATCGCTACATAATATTTGATAACAAGAATAACAACATATTACACAATTGCAGGATTTTTTAGTACCAGAAACAATGGTGGATAATATTTAAATAAATTTTATAACCATTGAATATTTATTTATTATAAATTATGAATAGGAGCATTACCAGGTGGTATTCAAACGACTTCATTATCTGAAAATTTACTGAAGTGTGATGCAAAATTATGTATCGACATGCAATGTATCTTTTAATGGTTGGCAGGTACAACACAACATTGAAGAAACTATTTGGTTAGGAATAATAAGTAGCTCATTTGAATTTCTTTTCCGAAGGTCGTAGATAATGCAAAATTTTTATCTTACTCATGCGACATTTGTCATGCATATATTTAGTCATTAATAGGATTTTGTGAGCAGACAGCGACGGTTTGAGTGTCTTCGTGTAGATTTCGAAAAGTCGACATTTTGCTTTGAAGGGCTTGTCACTTTTTATCATTTTACCGCACCAATGCCAATTAAACGTGAATATATACTTCAACAGCTTCAACTGGTATTTATTGCAAGTTAATATCTAATGTTTAACGATCGATATACACAAAAACAACGCAGTATATGGATTCCGCTGAGATGATTTAGTTTTACACAGAAATCACTTACGGGAAATAAAAAAGGCCCACACTGAATTGAACAGAGACAAAGGTACAATTTAACAAAACTTCTCTTTCGAATGCCATCTGCCGCCGTTATGATGGACACGAAACACCTCAAACAACCAAAACATTAACTCAATTAAACCTTTTAAACAAATAAGATAACGTCAGGAATAATGATACTTTTCTGTTCACGACAGTTTCCCCTGCCATTGTAGAGAAATTTATCAATCGCTTCAAAAGTCATGCTCAAGGCTCAGATGGCATCACAACTGATATGATCCGTATAACTTTTGTATAACAAATCTTAATCACTCCTCCTGGAAGAATGCTCTTGTTCTCCCTCTGCTTAAGTCTAATTATCCTTCAAGTTTTTCTGATCTTTGTCCTATAAGCATTTTACCAAGTCTATCTAAGCTTATGCAAATGGCTCTACATGAGCAGCTGCACACATTTGTTTGTCAAAACTGGTCGCCTCCTAATCTGGATTCAGACCATTACATAGCACCACCACCGCGCTCCTGTCTATATCGGATAATATTTATAGCGCGGCGGATCAAGGAAAGCTGTCTTGCTTAGCTCTTCTTGATTTTAGCAAGGCCTTCGATACGGTTGACCCAAATATCCTCTGTAAAAAGCTTAGATACTTTGGCCTGTCTTCATCGGCTTGCGCGCTGATTAGAAGCTACTTAACTGATCGCTCACAGCCTGTCATATATGAAAACAATACATAAACTTCTTTATTCAGAAATTTTAGTGTCCCTCAAGGATCTATTTTGAGTCCTCTTTTATTTGCTCTTTATATATGTGATTTTCATGAAACCGCCAGCTACTCAATAGTTCATCATTACACCGGGTATCATACCCAACTTTATAACAGCTTCGAACGTGATGAATATATGCTTGACCAACATCAAATCAATCAAGATCTGCAGTCTATTCTTGACAAATCTAGTGCTCACAATCTAAAACTGAATGCTGGCAAATCTTGCTGCATTTTATTTGAGCCCAAAAAGAATCGTGAAATAAATCAATATCACATTAATATTATGGTGAATAATGAAGACATATCCTTCGTAAACTAATTCAAAAACCTTGGTATCTGGTTTGACTGCAAACTACGCTTCACTAAACATGTTAACCAGCTGTGGAATGTGTCATATACTGTGCAGTTATACCCGAGTCGAAGTGTCCTGTCAACACAGCTCAAGCTTAAACTGTGCGAATCCCTTACCCTGCCACAATTATCTTACGGTGACTTTGTTTATAAAGAATATAGCCTAAGCAATTTTAAAAACAGGTTCAAGATGAGTCTAAAGCAATCGGATGGCTAGAATTTAACTTTACGCATATCCACAGGTAACTGATTGTTTCCTTTTTCTGAGAAGTGTAATATTTTAAGGTTTTTTCTTTTTGCTGGTGTTGTGAACTGTGCCATTTAAATGTAGTTATACTTTTATCTTTATAGTTTGTGTCAATGTTTTTTAGATCGGGTAGAAAACAGAATAAGCTGACACTCCACCTCTTCGCCACTATTCCTTTAAACCCAATTATTTTGTAATCATGTGACGAATAAAGACCATTTATTATTATTATTATTATTATTATTATTATTATTATTATTATGAAACATCATCATTTCGTAATTTAGCAAATAGATTTGATAAAACAATTATTCGTTCATTCTACGACGTTTAATCAAGTTTATGAACTTAGTATATCGGGAACTGTAATTCAATGGCCTAACAATGAGAAAAAAAAAACAGAATTTCATCAGTATGTCAAATACGATGCTGTCACTGACACAACCCAAAAGTATTTTGACAGAAAAATGTGTTCTAGCGGAATCAAATTTGAAACGGATTGGAACTAGTCTTTTGCGCGTTGAGGGATACACGGTTGAAAATGTGTAACTCACGATCTCCTGCGAGTACAAAATTTATGAAAAATATATAATAGGATACTTTATTTTGGGCAATCTCACCTTTACATCGGGTGATATTAACAGTTTTTATATCAACTGGAAGTAAATAAACTTCTATGCATTCAGCGTTCGGCTTTTCCCACGGTACGATTTGGCATCATCGCGCCGCCAGTGTCTGCGACACCGTCTACGTGCCGGCTACGTCACACAGACCGGCGGTGGCCCGGCCACCTCGATTCCGCCGATGCTTCTGCCGCCTTGCCGCCTGCCTTCTAGGAGCCGCTCTAATTATTCACCGGCGGCGCGCGTCACGCGGCGATGTTCCGATGTTTAACTGTTGCGTCATGGACACTGGACGCTGTATGCACTATGGTGCACAAGAGTATATTGCGATATAGAGATGCAAGTGCACTGGACCATGATAGATAACCCTTCAGATTACATATTACAAAAGAAAGGGGTTGGCTTGCTCCTTTGATCAGACTCCATGGCCTTGACACAGGGCGGCTGTTGGGCCTGTGGTTCCTACTATCTGAAATCGTAGCTTTGACAGGCCTTCGCAGTGGCACAGAAGATGCA